GTTCCCCCCCCAACAATTAACCCCCATTTTTTTTTTTTTTTTTTTTTTTTTTTTTTTTTTTTTTTTTTTTGCCCCCCCCCCCCCCCCTTTTGGCCCCCACCTCCCATAACAAAATTTCGAGACGGATCAAAAGCTTGCAACTATCCGTCGATAAAATTTTATAATATTACGTTATTATATATTAAACTTTAACGTTAAAAAAAACATTTAATAAAAAAATAATAAAAAATTAACATAATTAATAATATAATTAACAAATTAATTAATAACATAATATTACGTATAAAATATTTTTTATTTTAATTTTAATTTAATAATATTATTTAAACTTTTTTTTTATATATTTATATAATTTTATTTTTTTAAATATTATATTTTAACATATATTATAACGCGTATTATAATTAATACGTTATAATTAATACGTTATAATTAATATAACCGATATTATAATTAATATTATAATTAATTTTAATTTAAAACATATATTTAATTAATAAATTTAATAAAAAAATTAATAATAATTATATAATTAATTATTATTTATTATAAAAACGCATTAATATTATTATTTTAATAATTATTTTAATAATATTATTTTTAACAATATTTTTTTATGTTATAAATTTAATTTTTAAAAAAACAAATTTTAATAAAACTTTAAATTAAAAATTTAATATTGTTTTAAAAAGTTGTTCCAAGGTTATAATTAGTTAAAAAATAATGTAGTTAAAAAAATATAACCTTTTAAATTAATTCGAATTTTTAATTTAAAATCATTTAAAATAATAATATACCCGAATTTATAAAAGTTATTATTATAAGCTTTTTTTTTCGCAATAAAAAGTTCGTTTATGCGCGGTTTTTTAAAGCTTTTTATTAAATGCATTTTTTAAAATAACGGGTTTTATCAAATTCCCCACTTTCAAAGAAAAGTCAAAATACGTATCTCTTTTGTATAAAACGTAGGTTCGAATTCCACACGTGTTTTTTTTTTTACCCTTTTTTTAAGTGCCAAGTCTTTTTCCTGGGTGCCAAGCCTTTTTCCTGGCCTGGGTGCTAAGCCCTTTTCCTGGCCTAGGTGCCGAGCCCTTCTCTTAGGTACTGAATCGAAGGTGCTAAAGGTACTAAGGGTGCTAAGGGTGCCGAGCCCTTCTTTTAGGTGCTGAGTTCAGGGTGCTGAGGGTGTTAAGGGTGAGGGTGCCGAGCCCTTCTTCTGGCCTGGGTGCCGAGCCCTTCTTTTATCCTGGGTGCCAAGCCCATCTTTTGTCCTAGATACCAAGCCCTCCTTTTATCCTGGGTGCCGAGCCTTTTTTTTGGGTGCCGAGACGAGGGCGCTAAGGGTAAGGGTATTTAAAGAGTAATGGCAATAAATTCGGGCTATTGTGGCACCCTACAGGGGTGCCCTCCTGTCTGGCACGTGCGCAATTATGTAAACTCGGGCATATTGTGCAGCCCGCAGGGCTGCCTCCAGTTTTATGCATTGACTTTGCTGGTTTAGTTGTTAAGAGTATTTACGGAGAAAGTTGCCTTCTCTGATAATAAATATAATCTCGCGTATTGATTGATTGGTAGACGCTTCATTTCATGAATGCACCAACATGGTTGCATAGCACCAAGTTCGATATGGCAGATTCCATATAATATAAGAGCACGAATTATTAACTAATTACCTAGGTGGGCACCTATTAACCTCAAACAAGCGAGAAACAGACTCGGACGTCACTTCTCCTCCTATGATCAGCCGTGTTGCTTACTTTGGGACTATTGATCGTAGGGAAAGTAAAGCTGATGGACAATTAGGACAAGAGCAAGGGAAGACCCAAGAAACAAATTCAGTATCACTCCCTTCAATAAGTCACTCTTCATAACAAGTCTCGAGGACCCCAAAAATATCATCGCGCCGGTAGGATAACAAAGTGATCCCTAACTGGTTCCCTGCTATCGGCCGCTTCCTTCAACTGTTTCTTAGTGTAGCTACGTGTTCGAATCACGTCGCGTACATCTGATGAAAACATTCGTCAAACTCTAAGCTCTTTTTGACACCCGAGACGCGAGCCCTCGTAAAAAAATCACTCATAAAGCCATGATCGAGCGGAATTCGCATATTTGCCACGCTTTCTTCTGCCGCTTCGCTATATCCAAGGCTACAACCAACATGAGATAGGTGAGGCATCCAATCGCGACCCTCATAAGGTGTGTACTTGATCTTGTTGATTTTCGATCGCAGAGTTTCTATGCTGTCCGTAAATTCGTGTGGCTCGGGTGCCGGGAATAGTTTAGTAGCTACGAGTTGTAGAATTATGGACCCTAGCATCATAGTTTCGCACTCTTTCTGTTGCGAACCTAGCTTGCAGAAGGGTGGCTGGCAAGATCCATCAGCAGATATAGGTCGTCTAAAGGGTTCCCTTAGAGCATCCAGGATTTGACTGATGATCTCTAATCTCGTAGTACTAATCCATCCTAAATATGAGAGTCAGCTAGCAATCAAAAAAAAAGAGAATCCTTGTTAGTATCTATTTACCGGGTAGGTCCTTATGGATGTCTTCCATATCGGACAATGACTTTCCATCGGCGTCCACAAGTTGGCCATCAATTAGCTTGGAACTAAGAACTATTTGTTCAACCGAGTATCGAAAGAGCGGAACGTCGCCTAATACCCAGGCAATGAATACGGTTTTTCGGGAGCTACGGTGATATTCTTCGGTGGTATCATATTTCGGGAGGCTGTTGACCCACGTCTCTGCCCAAGGATAGACTAGATGAGCACACTTGTATTGACTAACGGCGACCGCAATAGAATGAAGTTCGTCTAGAGACACTGTAGTCGGTATCTTGTTGAATTCATAATGAATGATGCGGAAGAGGGTTATCAAGGCGGACGCGTCGCCGTCGATGGAGACCACCCAATCTTCTACATCTGATCTCTTGACAGCATCATTGCCGTATAGCATAGTGCGCCACACAGGAGACGCAAGAGCAAGATGAGCTGATGAGACCTTGCACACGGTGGCACCGCGATGAGTGCTGAGCGGAATATCGAGATCGCTGTCGATATCAAAGTAAATGATCGATTTCGCCATGTTAGAGGAACTCGAATCGACGACCAACTGTTCCTCCCAGTGATGCGATTCCTGGATGGACACAACAGAGCTAGCGGAGCTGTCAGCAGCCTTAAATTGGTCGCCAGAGACTCCATCAGAAAGAGCTGCGATATCATCACCTGTAGCATCCAGGGCAGTTGTGATTTTATCAGTTTTGCTAGGAGACACTGCTACTTCCGAGACGTCGATCTCGGTGGAAATACTAGTAACATCGTCGCAGGGATCTAACGGCACGTCAGCGCTCGTGGCGTCGAGCGGAATCTCCTGGATAGAGGTCATTTTGATGCAAATCCTCAAGATATCGGGCTGGTGTACAACCGCAACAAAACGGTGCGCAGATTAATAAAGATCGATTGCGGCCTATAACAGGCAATATGGCATATGTTGGAGAAGATCTATAGTGCAAGCGTTAGTGGCGGGCAGGCAGGTTGATGGCACAGTAAATTGTAGGCGATGACGATACATCAGGGCTAGGGATAATTGATGCCCATGAATTGGATAGAACTTACTAAACTAAGCACACAAGGTACTAAACCAATCGACAATAGACAGGTAGGTTGAGATTGTTGCTTGTACGTTGTTCGCAAGCCACAAAGTGAGAAGGGATTGCTTGATGCTTGACGTAGGTATCTTGAGTACCTAGAATAATGTAGGTAGAAAAATAGGTGTAGGTGTTTAGACGCGAGTAGACGCGGCAAATCAGGCAAGTCTTAACGGTCAAGGTCAACGGTGTAGGTAGGAGGCAGGAGGCAGAAAACAGGAGGCAGGAGGGAATGAGTTGATTAGGAGGTATTTATGTACCTACCAAACAAGAGCAGGACCAGACGAGGATGCCTAATTACATAGAGACCTAATGTACCTAGACATAAGGTTACTTATTCTTATAGCATCAAAATATCAACTGTTACGGTTACTAGGTGCTACTTGGGAAGTATTTTATGTGTGCACTTACATAGGTACCTAGGATATATATAGCAACACGATGCATGGCTGTGCTTCATCTTGATACAACTCTTCACAAGTTCGAGAAACGCTTTACGCTTGCGAGTTATAGTTATATCGGTTGAATAATCAACAATATTCTTAGCCGATCTATTCCTCGATTCCTCGATTCCTCGATTCATAGCAAATATTAGAAATGATATCGCTGTTAAGTATCTATTACATGAGGACATACGAGACATTGTTACGAGGCTCGATCCCCTCTCGCCCTAAGTCTTTACACCTAATTCAACTCTGATGAGGTCCCGCCGGTGATCTTCTGCTGAAATCAGTCTATGCCGCCCTATAACCAGCCTGTATAACAGTCCAAAAGACTGTAGGCACAAATAGTGGGCTTTGATAAAGCACCTAAGAAAGCTCTGCGCTACGGCTAGCAACACAAGCCGTTGATGGGAACGACGCTTGCATTCCCCGCCATAGATTACGACGTACCCTCCCCTTCTCCCAGCAGACGGGCAATTAACACATAAACAAATATAACGCCTCCAAACACTAGTAACTTGTTGCGTCCGAGCCAACTAGTGCCAGCATCCCGCCGTTGTACGACGGCATCGACAACAGCTTGAGTCTGTCCGCCACTACCGCCGGCGATGCCTAGCTGTGGTCCACATGACGCTCCGCCATTCCTAGCTCCTGTCGCTACGTCGATGTTGTTCTCCGTCATCCACCGCCAGTTCTCCTTGTCTAGTTCGGGCCATTCTGCTCTAAACTTTGCGCCGCCGTCTCCGGCCTTCACGTTTCCTTTCTGTGCCGGGTTCTTGGCGTGTGAGCCACCTCCTGTTGAGTTCCACCACCTAGACCTGGCCGCAAATATTCGTCGCTCGTGTGCTGTAGCCGACACGGAACCCGTTGTCATCTCTTCCGAAGTCATGAAGGACAGCAGCCCGATCAAGATCGTCGAGACTTCCCATGCCGGATTGAAAGATCGCGGGTGGAAATCGGAGATGGAAAGGCAGAGCCGTGTGGATGGTTGGAAGCGGCCGGAGGGCGTGTGCATTCGAATAGCCGGGGGAGCGAAAGGGTAGTTAGGCGGGAAGATTAAGGTTCCCCAATACTGGCCGTTATGATACGGGGTATCCTCGGGGCCGGTTATGATATAGTGCCATCTTTTCTTGTCAGCAATTACGTATAATCAAGGATATGGAGAATATGATTGGAACATACTCGAGGATATTAGATTCTGACGGATGGGCACTAATATACGGAGGAGGGTTCTCTGATATGCTTTTATATTCACGGGCCAACTACAGTGACAACATGTAGGTTAGATAAATACCCATATAATAACAGGGAGGGGGATAGAGGAGGCGTACGCGTTTGCTCGCTTGCTTGCTAGCCATGATGCGATTGGGTGTGTTCTAGCGAGGGTATCTCTTAGAAAGGAAAGGTGTCACGATGGCTGCAAGTCGCTTCGCAGCCGATGCAGTAAGGACGTATGGGGTCAAATTGGATTCTATTGAAAGGAGACAAGAAGTAGATAGGGATTAATAATAAATATGTCAAGTAGAAATCTTTACTGGACGTGATCGCTGGATGGGGGGAGAAAAAAGAAGGGGCACGATTGAAGAGAGGTAGGTTAGTAGTATGTAGTAGGATGAGGCTGATGATGACGAGAAAAGGCCCCTGTTAAAGACTTCCAGGCTTTAGATGGGTAGGTACGTACCTGATAGATTTGGATTGCTGACAAAGAAAGTCTACCTAAATTCTTAAGTGGACTTGGCACCTGCAGAACATCATTCAGCCACACACTACATAGAGCAGTGCCACAAATCGATATCCCCAGGATCCACGGGTCCGGGTGGAATCTCTCCGGATCGTGCCGAGCTTCAGCTTTGGTGCGCTTTGGCGCCGACCCATTACCTACAATTCTCAGCCCGAGCAGTCTCTCAAATCGCATGAGGAAGATACATCATATAACGGTATTTATATTGTCATAGCAGACGGGCACGTAGCTATCCCTGCCAGCTAATATGGCTCGCAACAGCCCTCCCGAGAATAATGATGTGAGATAAACTTGGTTATTTTATAGGTATAACTAGTAGCAATAACTGATACTTGATATACGTAATTCGCAGGTTTTCGAAGGTCTTCTAAAGTCCGAGATTGCATCGGTAGAGCAGAGAGCGGCAGCAGAACGGGCCCAGGCTCACGATGCTCAATCCGAGCAAAGGGCAATCGAATTGGTAGGTCTCGTCATATAGGTCTTATATTCAGTTAGTTTCTAAGTTATGAGGTTGCTGGTCGCTAATATTCATTCCTAGCTATTACAAAATCAAACACTCCCCGTCACCCTCTCTTCTATCGAGATCAATGGCGCCAGACACACGCGCGAACCATTCCTCGCCCCCCTATTCCAGCCTCTCCTAAACGACAGTCGCAATGCCGACTACACTCTTGCCGATATGCTGGATCAAGTGAGTGGCGCAGTGGAAAAATTGCAGAAATTCGGTATGGTGTTAAATTATCCCCTCCATCATTTTGTGTTGGTTTAACATCATCTATGAAGACATTTTCCACCCCAACATCCTCTTCCACTTGTCTCGACCGCCCCATCTCGACCCGTCTTCCACTCCAACAGACCTCGATATTTCTCTTCGTGTGCGCGAAAAGTCTCGACTCCTCCTCAAGACCGGCACAGACCTGGGCAACACAGAAGGCTCCGCGTATGGATCTATGTTATGGAGGAACATATTCGGAGGTGCCGAATCCTTGTCGCTAAACGCATCTGCTGGTACGAGAACACGTTCGGCGTACAGTGCCGAATTTGCTACCCCGATACAAAGCAATCCCAATCTGCGCCTTAGTATTGAGGGACTCGCTAGTAGTACGCAGAAGCCATGGGCGAGTCATGAGGAAGTTCTAAAAGGCGGAGGCGTCAAGCTGCACTGGCTGAAGGACAATGGTGACCGACATCAGCTTGGTTACTCCGGTACCTGGAGGCAATTAACGGGCCTTGCGGCAGAAGCTAGTCCTACTGTTCGAGGCGATGCGGGAGACTCTGCTAAGAGCGCTATATCTTACCTATTCCAGCGAGAACGGAGAGATAACCCTATGTTACCGCAAAGCGGATACCTCGTCAAGACGACCACGGAGCTTGCCGGGTGGGGACCCCTAGGTGGAGATGTCGGTTTCTCTAAGAGCGAGCTGGAGGTTGCCGGCGCAGTACCCATTCCTATGCCCGGGATTCGTGGAACCTCCGGCGTATCCATCGGCGGTGGCTTCCGAGCGGGTTTACTTTACCCTCTTCCTTTAACGTACGGTTTGGGCGGTGCGTCGCCAAGTCGGATCAACGATCGATTCACCCTCGGAGGGCCGACAGACGTGCGGGGTTTCTCGCTAGGTGGTCTCGGTCCTAGAGATGGCAACGATGCTCTTGGCGGCGATATTTTTGCGGCAGGGAGTGTAAACATGCTTATCCCTCTACCCCGGGTGGGACCTGAGTCCCCATTCCGGCTGCAGCTTTTTGCCAACGGTGGCAGGCTAGTAACGATGAAGAACAAATCCAGTGATGGTGATAAGACGACGAACCAGCGCCTAAGTGCTGGCACGGTATTCGACGGTATGGTTTCCGCAACCAAGGACCTTAGCACTGGACTACCTAGTATTGCTGCTGGTGTAGGGCTCGTATATGCACACCCAATTGCAAGATTTGAGCTAAATTTCAGCTTGCCGTTGGTTATGAGGCGGGGAGAAGAGGGCCGGAAAGGATTACAAGTCGGTGTTGGAATTAATTTCCTATAATTCGACGGCATTATTCACGGACGGTATGAACAAGAGGGTATTTAATGTAAACATCTACTATCCTCGTCCCTATGTAAATAATTTCACCGCATCACTTTATGTCACCTCCAAAACTAAGATATACGAAACAATAGAAAAATCATACGACATTTCTCATGCAGCTTTAAAGTATTTGGCACGAGCAGAACTATGTACCTCTAATATTTAAAGAGTAAATCAATACCCTATGGTTTAGAGGATGCTATATCAAAAGACTAGCAACAAATTAACATCTTGACTTCCTGCTATTATGTACACCTTGGAAATTATTTTTATTGGTCAAATGATGAGACGAATTCATGAGATAAGACGCCGAGGTAGGACTTGATATTCCATCAAATGGGAACTAGTGATTGAGCTATAATCAGGAGTGGAGATGAATATATATAGAATATAGATAGCGGGGTTATATTGCGTGCTGATATTTCCAGTAATAGAGTCGTTAACCGTCCTTCATTCTTTATTCCGTTGTATGCAAGTAGAAGTTATGGCAGCACTCCGTCCCGAATCCAGAACCATCATCGTCGGTTCAGGCGTATTCGGTATTTCAACAGCACTATGGCTCGCGCGGTCCGGCTACAAAGACGTAACCGTCCTTGACATGCAGGACACTGCCTCAGCAGCCTATGATCCACTATTGGGCATCGACTCGGCGTCGGCTGACCTGAACAAGATTATCCGTTTCAGCTATGGATCCGAGATTGAATACCAGCGCTTAGCTACCGAGGCTGCTGGCATGTGGGACGAATGGAACCGCGAGATTGCCGTGGTGCCCGCCGACGAACTGCCGGAGCGCCTGAGAGAAGGCGAGAGGAAACTTTGGTGGAACTCAGGCATGCTACGGATGAGCTCCGAGACGGAACTGGGCGATTTCGAAATCGCGACGCTGGAAAATATGCACCGCGAAGGTATTAGGGAGTTCCAGTTTAGGAGCGATGATGAGGCAGGTAGGTTCAGGGCGTAAAATATATATCCTGATAAATCATACTAAATGATAGGCTTTTCGACATGAAGATATCGCTCGGGCAAAGGAGCGAGGTTGGGCGCACAAGCTCGATCCCTGTTGCCGCCAGGAGAGGTTCGGAACGCACAAGGCAGTTCTCGATTCTACCGCTGGCTTCGTCTATGCATACAAGAGTTGCGCTTGGGCCCAGCATCTTGCGAGGCAAGCCGGTGTCAAGATGATACTTGATCCGGTGCGTGGTAGAGTAGTCGATATTATAGCAAAAGATAATCACCCGGTGGTGCTTACCGCTGACGGCCTCGAGCTATCTGCCGATCTAGTTGTTGTAGCCGGTGAGCCTTTTATTTCTCTCTTAGTAACCAAGGTATATATCGTCTGCAATAAGATATCTACCTACTTACCAATAATGATACAATACGATAGGCGGTGGATGGACTCCGTCTTTGATTCCGGAGGTACAGGGCTTGCTCGAGACTACAGCCGGTTCCGTAGCCAATATCCATATCCCAAAAGATCGGTCCGATCTGTGGGACCGATTCGCCCCGGAGAACCAACCGGTGATAACTTGGGGTTCTCGGCAAGGCAAGGATGTGTACAGTCTCCCAAGAGACAGAAATGGCGTTTTTAAGATTGGCTGGCGGAGCACAAAGTCAGATTATCCATTTCATATTGTCTAGCCGTGCAATTAATATTGATATATTTAACAATAGGTGGACAAACTACCAAACCGTCGGTGGACGGCTAATATCAGTTCCCAAAACCGCACACGTAACCGACCAAAAGGAGACTCGTATCCCGATCGATGCGCTTAACGGTATCAAAGGTTAGGACCTACCCAAAACTCTACGTCGATCTATAGCATCTCGCTGATTATTTTGCACAATAGAATTCATAACAATAAACAGGAGGCAACCCCCCGGGCTGCACAATAGCCCGAGTTTACGGAACAACCCTTACGTAATCGCCTGGCTATAATCCGTACCATAGCCCGAAGTTATCCCGGCCACACCTTCCTAGGCCCCAGGTTCGAATCCTCAACCTCGCACCTTTATTTATTTTTTGATTAACGCATGACTCAACAGGCAAAGTCAGCGGCGCTTCGCGCCGCTGCCTTTGCCTTCATCGAAAGCGAAAGCGAAAGCGAAAGCGTAAGCGAAAGTCTATCCCTTTTGTTTTTGGTGGCCTATCGCCAAGTCATGTGGTCAGATCACGTGCGGCTACGTATGTGGCTACGTATGTGGCTACATTGGATGTGGTCACGTGGTGTTCTATGTTATCTTATCTTTCCAAGGCCCATATAATATAATGATGCACCCAATCAAAGCCATTTTAGCCTTCGGAGCTGGTTTTCGGCCAAAATGCCAAGCCATGCTCCACATATACAGGTCGTGCACCCAATCAAATCGCTTAAAAAGTGGTGCACGTGCCAGATACTGCCCATTGAGTTACTTTCCTATTTGGGCCATGGAAAAAATTCGACACAATAACCCCTCGTAAACTCGGGCACTTCCCCGAACTAGTCCCACTAGGCATCTCATCCACTAGACTCTGCTGGTATACCGACAGTATCGATAACTCATTCGTGGTTGACTTCGTGCCAGGGCGTCCCGGAGTCGTCGTCTGCTCCGGGGGTAGCGGTCATGGCTTCAAGTTCCTGCCTATCCTTGGCCGTGAAGTTGTTAAGATCCTTGAGGGCAAGGGGGAGCAGACAGTGTACGGCCGGATGTGGCGGTGGAGAAGTAGCACCGAAGCGAAGCGGAACGGGCTTGAGGAAGGCGAGCAAGGCCCGAGGGTACTTGCGAAGCAGAATATGGCTGAACAAGGGGATTGGAGGTTTACGGTTTAATAGTTTACATCTAAGATGAATGCTCTACTATTTTCATGATTAAGAATCTCGTTTTTATCAATTATTTCCAGATTATGGATTCATTCTCATCCAACGAAGATGTTGAATAGATATAGGTTGGAAAATTCTACAACTATTGGGTACATTGCTTGGAATCCAAGTTGTTAAATTTTATGACTTAATACTCAGGCTTACATGCGAGAAGCAATGAAAAATAGTAAACATATCCAATGTTTTTGCTATTACTTCAAAATAGGCAAGTACTCGGCAATGGGTAGTTCATTTTCATACATCTGGGCGTGGCAAATGCCAACATCTTAAAGGTAGTATAAACTTCTCACGTATCTACTTAACTATCGTTTAAACAGCAGTTGATCCGTGAAGACTTTGCCTTATCTTCTTGCTGTAGTTAAAAGGAATGTACTTTAGTTAGTTAATCGGCTTTATATCAAGTTGGGCCATCTAGTGTATCATGGGCGCTTAACCCTTGTAGTGTTCCTGGCCGTCACGACACCATGAAGAGTCATTGGCGGTGCCAGTTCATGAGGGGGGAATGACCCTAGCACAATGCTTTATTCTAATTGGCTAGAGACATCTATATTTTAACCAATCCGGAAAGTAGGGGAAACCATTTGGTCCAATTCTGGTAGGAGATGATGGCGAATGTGGATTAATTTATATATAATGATTATCGATTCGTTATATAAAATGTGGACTCTTCGGTCTACTATCATCGGCGCGTATCCTCGTCACGCATACGCTATATGGCCGCTGTGCAACGCAATTGGAGTATGCCCCGGCTTCGTTCACAATCTGGACCGATAACTTGATGTGCCGTCAATGTGGTATTATTCATATTTCCATATCCGATGTCGATCGATGCCCGGGGGCCACTAGGCTCGGGCTGTTCTTCGACCACATGGTCTCTAGGTTAAAAATGACAGGCATGCCATCTTTTTCTTCTACTTATCTCACCTTTCCGGCGTCTATCGTACCGGCTGGCCATCTTGCGATGCATCCGGGGCATCATTTGGCGTACGCCATGTGGGCGATGGCGGCTCTCTCTCTCGCTTTGGTAGCTCTCCGACTATATACACGTATTCGAATCATCAAATTTGTCGGCGCTGAGGATTACATGTACGCATGCACCAGCGTATGTAAGCCCCCTTGGCATCGAATTTAATTATCACCTAGGTACATAATCTAACTTGATTCCTATAATATAGATATTCTTCCTTTTGTTTGCTATTTTCATACAAATCTCGGTTCATTACGGGCTAGGCCAGAACTTCTGGACGCTTAGTATCGACGATACCGCCAATTCTATATTTTGGACTTACGTGGCGAATACATTTGCTATAACGGGAAATGCAATGGCTAAGCTATCGATGGGTCTGTTTCTCCTTCGAGTAGTTCAGGTCAGGTGGCATAAGATTGCACTCTGGATTGCCGTTGTCATCACCACTGCCACATCCTTTATTCTCGTGATTATGCTATGGAATCAGACGACGCCAATCAAAGCGAGTTGGGACCCGTTGAGGACGCCTGGGATATGGAATATACGAATTCAGCCTCTGAGTGTTGGTCTTGGAGGTAAGTTTTCTTGCTTTGTATGTTCTTCCGTTAACTATAGTGCTAACAATAACTTCAGTTTGGTCAAGCATCTGCGACTTTTTCTTCGCCATATTCCCTTGGTTGTTTATCCGGTCTCTTCCCATGTCTCAACGAGAGAAAATTATGCTAGCAAGTGGAATGAGCCTCGGGGTAATGTAAGTGACTACGAATATTTTATTTTCTTGTAACTTTCCTCTTCATATTTGGCTACGCAGTAAAGCAAGTGGTACATATTGGAACAAAGCTGACTCTTAGGTATAGGGCCGGAGCTTGTGGTATTACCAGGACGGTAGTTTTATCTAAGCTAAATGTGTTTAACTATACACGTAAGTAGCACCCGTCAGGTTAATATGCTTTACAATGCTCTAATAGGAAAAAAACCTAGTAAACTTCGTACCTTATTTTGCTTGGGCCGGCGCGGAAATTGCTGTGGCCATGGTTTGTATAGGTGTTCCTACCTTACGTCCGCTGTATCTTAAGACGAGGGGCTTTACGAGTGCCTATTCGAATCACTACCGGAGCAGGAATACAAGCGAGCTACCCCGATATACGACATACAAACGCAAGACTCTTAACAAATCTTGTCGAGTTCGGGATTCGGGATACTCGCAAGCTTCTGATCTGTCGAGGCCCCCGGTAGCGTATACCAAGGTGCGAAGTGACAGTATGGACGATATGCTATCAGATAAACATAATAGTCAGCGAGCAGGTGTGATATGGGTTAAGAACGAAGTTCGGATTCAGGAAGATGTTGCAGAGTGGCCGTTACGAAATTAATAAATGATATTATAGGTAAGGTAGTTAGATACGGTAGAAGCTTACTACACAGCAGACGCAAGTCAATTTATTATTTGATGATGTAAAATTAGAAAAGAGCTGTGGCTTGCAATAAGAGCCTCCTCAAAAGCCACTTTGTTCTTGCCCAACCTGTAAAGTTCCAGGTTGCTGGGCACTGGACAAAAAAATAGCCTTAGCTGTCTCGGGGTAAGAACTTCCATGTCAGCCTGAACTACCGGGCAGCCGGGCAGCCGGGGTAGGTACCTATGAGTTATTGGGTACTTGCATAAGGTATAAGGTATGAGGTCACCATGTGCTACTCTACTTACCTGATAGGGGAGCAACCTGAACATGAGCGCGGGGCAGGCAGGTACCATTTACCTACTTGGCTCCACAAAGATCTGAGCAACGGCCGCCGACAGTTGTCAGTATGTAAAGAAGAAAAAAATAAAAAATTTCTCGGACTTTTCGTCCCCCCGCCAAAGCTGCTGGAGCTGCCCCCAAACTTCCTCCACCACCATCCGTCGTTCATCTCAGATACATATCCTGCCTATCCTAAAGATAGGAATCGACAACCCACAGTCATAATCAGTCTTTTTTTCATCGTTTCCCCGTTAATCATTTTTTTCCCACCACAGACAAACGATCTAATAGCACCACTTTTCCATCTCGGTTGCTTCGCCTTCGCCTTCGTCTTCGCCTTCACTTTCGCATCTTCTTCCTTGTTATCCCTTCTCCACTATTGAACCCGTTCTAGTCCCTCATACATATTCTCCTCTATATCTCCCCTCTCCCTCTCCGTCTTACTGCGCCAGCTCCTTGGATCGACCCTGGATCGACCCCGGATCGATTCTGGTATGGTGTAATCAAATCTCATGACATCTTTGAGCTCCGGCTGAGTCGTACTTTTCCGGGTCTGGTTCTATGGCTATGATCGAGTGCCTAACACCCTGCTCATCCCACCACGCATACCCCGGACCTCCTGCGCTCACCAGCTTCTTCTAATCCCTACCTCAATTTTCTCCCAACTTGCGGGTTTCTTTTTCGAATAGCCTCCGACTGTCGATAACAGTCCATCATCGACAAAGGTTGGCGAGAATCTAGACGTTACCCTTTCATCATGGCACCTTACAAGAGTCAGACTAAGCCTGGAAAGGCCGTCTCTAGCCATGCGAAGAAACCGGTGTCCGTAGCTGCGCCGACTCGACCTGTCGTATTGCCTGCCATTCCTCTTCCTATGATTCCTAAGCAATCCAACAAGTCGAACAAGCGTGTCCCAACTGCCTCTTCGTCTAACGGCATCCCCGCTTCGTCCCTCGAGGCCGCTCTGGTCGACCATGCTGACCATGTTCCCGTTTCCGTTTCCGACAATACAAAAGTTTCTCAGTTAGCCAAGACCTCTGGTAATCAAGTTAACGGCTCCAATGTGGAGAAGCCCGAACATACCACCAACACGGTCAGCCTTAGCAACGGCGCGCATAACGGCGATAACAAGGGTTCCAATGCTCCCCTGCCCGTCAACGGAACGAGCAATGGCAATGGTCCTCGCCATGCGCCCTCTTCTGCGACCTTCGCGCCAGACGCTGAATCTGTTGTCGGATCTGGATCCGTCTCCGCTTCCGTCTCCGCCTCGGCGAATGACAATACCAATCAAGGTAACCCACATCTCGAAGCAACACCCTCTCCATCCGACTTCAAACTCTTACAGCTCATAGGCGCCCACGATGCACCTCGACATGTCCCGCAGCCCCGATCTGCAACCTCGCCCACCATCCTCTCCGATCAGCAACTGCCTTTCCATCATATGCTTCAGCATCAGCCGTCTATCGACCAGCACCCCGATCCTACGATCCTCCGCGGACAGCCCCACATACACCGCTACCAGCACCATCCCCACATGAGTAATGGTGGAGGTGTCGTATTTGGAGGGTTTGCCGGTTCTCATACTCCATCGCCGGCGCCTCCCCCCGGCGGTTTTATGCCGCCTCCACCTCCGCCTCCGCCCGTGCCTGTCGATAGCGAGAACCATATTCGCTCGCAGCCAAATGGTCATCAGCACGCTCCCTCCGGAAGTAACGGCTTTCCCGGTCCGATCAATACCCAGTTTCGACCCGACATAGTACCCGTATCCGGCATTGACACATACGGACAGGGACCGGCCCCCATGCCGCATCCCCCGTTTGATCCTTTCTCACCTACTGTTGGCCGCTTCGGTATCTCGACTCCCCATAGCCTTCACGGCTCCCATGCCTCGGGTGAACCGAACGGCATCGAAAACGGAACTATCCACCCCTATCCACCCCCGAACGGCATTCCGTATGGTAGCCATACTCATCATGAGCATCCCGTTGGTCACCCGCATCCGGCTTCCCACTTTCCGCCCTTCATTCCCCTTGAGCCTTTCGGCCGTGATCCTAGTTTCTTTGATATGGGATTGAGAGAGAGCATCATGTACTTCCAAGATCAATTCGACAGCGGTGAACTTACCGATTGTGTTTTGGAGCTGGTGTCCACCAAGTGTCTACACCACCCTGTCAAGATCACGGGCCATAAGCTCATCCTAGCTCGTAGCCCAGCGCTCAAGCATCACATCATGGCTGCTCGTGCTACGGATTTAGGTTCTCACACTATCACAGTCGAGTCGGACGATCCGTATCTACGTTCTGATGCGTGGTGGAGTGCCGTACGGCGACTGTATCTCTTCCCGCTGCTTAACCCTGCCATGATGGCTGACGCGGCCAGTGGCCTACACTTTGCCGACGGTAAGACCGATCGGTTCGAGTTCTGCTTAGGCTACGCCGCCGCGGGACATCTCCTGCACATGCCCGATGTCTTTCTGCGCGGCTTACACATGGCTGCCGATTTTATCACTTGGGAAACTGTGGAAGAGGCGCTAGGCTTCGTCTTCGAGGGCACCATTCAGCGGCACGTCAACTACGACAACGACCAAGACGTCGAACTCGATTTTGGATACAGCCCAGATGTTAGATTCCTCTTGCAGGCTACGGTGAACTTCCTTGTCAATGCGTTTCCGCCGAACTTTGAACTTGACCACTCGGTAGCCGACCCACCGAAGCTAGCCCGTATCCCGGCGACGCCTGCTGCTGCAATTTCGCCTACGGGCAATATGGCACCCACCATTGCTAGAGGCACGAATGTGCGTAGCGCCGCGAAGCCCAATCGTCTATCCAGTATTAAGTTTGGCGATCTACCGGCCGCTCTGCCTGAGGATGGCGCCCCCCTTTTGCGTGGCCCTGCCAAATGCTCTCCGGTTCTCTCGCGCATCTTGCTAAATTTACCCTTTCAAGAACTTCGCATCGTGCTCACCTCCGAGAGTGATGGTGCCTCGGGCTGGAACACCGCCCAAGACCGGTACCACGCGGTTGCCGATGTCGTGGCCGAGAGAGAGGCCAGACGAATGCGCGCAGTTGAGGCAGTCCGTGCGGGAGTTATTCCCAACTCCCAGGGAATCCAGCAACGGCTGTCAGCACAGCGACGGTACGCTATTGTTGAACCTTGGGACGTCCTAAATTGGCAAGAAGAAGTCGTCCAGCCAAGAGGCGCCGAAGTCCCTCGGATCGTACGCAGATGGATCCCTCAGTTCTCTGCCGTCTCGGGGGCGCCGTCGCAGCAGTTGCCACCCCAATCGTATAGTGTCCCTGATTCCATGGTTTAGCTGACCGATTGGCACACTATGCGACGGGCTCACGTGTGAACGATAGCGTTGGTTGGTACGCGGAAAATGAAGCTTTTCCTACGTTACATAACAAAACAACCTTCTAGTATTAACTTTTTCGGTTTGGTCTTTCGTTGGCATTGCGGTTGGTGTTTATTGGTTGTATGGTTTCCACCTCTTTCTTCATGGACATACTTAAATCAAGGACGGACTAGGGGACTTAGTATTGTATTGTATCTGCATGCATACCTAACGGTTCCAGTCACTTTGGTTCAACGGCATATCGAGGTTTCATTGAAAAAAAAGGGACGTTCTCGCCCCGTTGAGTTGGTCACGAACACCCTACGGGCGCGGGTAACCGGATGAGAGGATTGCGAAAGTTGTTAGACAGTACAGGATTAAGGACGGCAAAGATAGGGTTGAGCAAAAATCGGCATTTTTCACATAATACCCCATTCCCCCCTTGCAGATGGTTGTTTCTGCAGTATTGTTCGAGCATGGTGTCATAAGCCCCGGAGTTTTGCGGATTGCGGGTGGATTCACATTTGTCTATCCCGAGGGAATTGCTTTAGTAGGTTTCATAGACCTTTTACTTAGGGTACACGATTACGATGAACAGTGTCGAGAGTTGTAGCGCGGCCAAGCGCAGATTAAGGATAGGCTGGAGGGGATTAACGAACGGTACTGTTGCCGGGTCGTATCTTGATAGGGTCTTCAGATAGTCTTAGATCAACCAAAAGTGTTTTTACTATACTGTTAATAGTGGAATGACAACCCATGAACTTCTAATGTCTGTCCTGTATGCTACACGCTTTATTAAATTCAACGAAGATTACATCTAGAAGCACGATACTTTGCAACGTATAAATCTAACTACTCGAGTTTTAAGCCGTTTGTTTCTTTATACCTTAGGCACATATGTATCTAGGTACCTATAAGCTTAACTCGGCATTGTCTTCGAGATAGTAGTACCTACTACTTTCAATTTAAAGAACCGTCTAACAAACCTATCCCCTAAACTACCTCGCATAAAACGTCACCCCTCCTAGTAATCGGTAAAGTACAAATATAATTAGCCGATTTAATAACGTAAAACCGTTTTATCTTCTTTAACAAATCTTTGATATATCGATACTAAAAATAGTGGAGGTGGTGTCTTAGGTATACCAATTACCTAAGATGATAAGTACCTAACCTACCTCACTAGTTTCATTATAGGTCCGTAATTTAGTCACCTTATAGTCATATATGGACATAACTATTAGAATTAAAGTAGTCGATACGGTAGCGCATTTCCCATCGGTCTCTCCATACATATTAGCGCGTTCCCCCCTGTCCCCTCGCGCGGGGAAGTCTACCTACCTAGGTATGTAAGAAATTCGAGGACCTGAAAGACCCTAAACGTTTTAGTCTAGATCATGACGTCGCATTCTAACAGGCGAGGGATCCTTCAACCAATGCGAGATAACAAGACGGTAAGTGCCCCTGCTTAGATCTGCAGGTTAAGCTATCGTCCTTGCAAAAGTAGAGGCTCCAAGGTTCAAGCTTTTCTATCCGCGTGTTGCTGTACCGAACTTGACCACACTTGACCACACTTGACCACATCTAGTAAATATATCCTACCAAGACCCACAGCGCCGGCGGACGGGCGGACAAAGAGAATAATGTAATGGGATCAAGTAGAGATGCCGATAAGAGAGGGAACTCAAGACTACGGACTTAACGCAGGGGCAGGAAAGCTGGATTATCGGTGATCTGCTACATCTTATTCCTTTTTATTTCCTTTATGCTCTTTTCATTTTTACTCTTCTTCTTCATCTTCTTCTTCTTTTCATCAGCTCGAGTAATATGTATATGTAGTAGCATACGCTGCTTACAGTACCGCTTATAGAGTACCGCTTATAGTACGGTCATAACTCGAGTCTTGAGACTTATATACTTATACGACGCCCCCGTACGGTTACCTTCGGCAATACATGAAGTAGCTGACTCGAATGCTCTTATTTATAACTTGTCTCGGTTAATCGAGTGGAAAAAGAATAAGGGAGAAAATAAGAAGCGATACGAATGATACGAATGATACGAATGGTATTACGGCATCAACGACAATGGACGAGATCAAACAAGAGCAACCTCGGCGGCGCAGCAGCGCGAATCACAGCATTGTCCTTCAAGATGATGCTGCTGCGCTGGCGCACTTAGGACACAAGCAGGAACTCAAGCGTAACTTCTCTATGATCTCAATGTTGGGACTAGC